CATTCCTTGTATTGAGATACACCCAGCTCAATCACTGCACTGTCTTGATAAAAAGTTACCACAGGAAAATTAGGCGAGCTGGACAGTCTGAAAATAAAATCAATATTTTAATCAGTGCAAGAATTTTCCACTTCATTAAAAGGTAGCTTTATCCCATGCTGTGATTAAGGCACTGAACAGAAATGATACTGTACTATAAGAAAATAATACTTTATGAACATACAGGGGTGTATTATTAGTTACAAGAAAAGCACACTCAAGGAATTTAGCTTCTCTGATACACTCCACATGTATTTACACTCACAGTCTGGAACTAAAAATCAAAGGGATAACTGGATTCTACTGGGCTAGCCAAACAATTGCAAATGAGAAATAATTGAATAATTTGGCATTTCAACTCTGTACTATCTTGCCACGTACTGTCATACTGAAAGAGCAAACAACTGAAACCAGTATCCATATTTAGCCAACTTTCTCGGTGGGTATAAGAATCTCTTATTTACATAGCATTAAATAGCCACTCCTGAAACACTTATTATTTTAAAAAAACATATAAGCAATTGTACCTATATAGTGGACAATGTTGGGAAATGTGACAATTATATGAGAAAGAGAAAAAAAATCGGAATTGGGGGGCTTCAGATCACACCAAGGGGAAGAAATGTGTTGTAATCAAACTGCAAATGAGAAAGATGAATTAGCCAATCTGATATTAACTTTACGGAACTGAATTAGTATAACATACGGTATTATGATAAATGTGGAAGCATAAAACTGTGAACTTTATCCACGTTAAAAGGTAACAATAAATCTCAAATTTGGGCTAACCGGTAAGAAAGTAACGCTGAACAATCCTTAATCCGCACACACATGACAAACTGTTATATCTCTTTCATGCAAAGCTAAAAGCCAAGAATAAAAAAAAAAAATACAGAAAGAAAACCTCTGCCCTTTTGTGAACATTCTTTACAAAATTATCCTTTTTATAACTGGAACAACTAACACCAGGGGAGAAGTTTGCCAGCAGTGACTCAGTCCATAATCACAGCATTGTTTATTTTATTATTCTATTATTTTACTTTTGCTCGTTTAAACTTTTTTTATTTCTTTGATTTTTTTTATGGTTGCGAGCCGCCTAGAGCAGCTCCATGGAGAGATAGGTGGCAAATAAATTTAATAATTATTATTTTCTAAAAAGCACAGAGCATGGGACACACTCCATTTTGAATGTAAGTCTAGTTGTTTTTCAGTTCAAGACAAGACTCATAGATCATTTTGGAAGTTTCCAAAAGGATCAAAGCATCCTTTTTCACATTTAAAGTAAGTGTTTCAAATTCGAAACTGGTCAATTTGAAAATATTTTGACATTGTTAATTAGCAATCTTGACTTTCTGGAAAGTTTTAGTCAGATCTGGCAACAGATCTGCTTTCAGGAATATTCATGTTTGAGAATGACTATTAGGTGTTAGGTTTCAAAAGGTGACTATTTTATTTTACCAATTAATACTACCCCAGCAAATTTGTACTGAGAACAAATTTATTTGGAAAACCCCGTGATATTTGCAGTTCAGCTTACGTAACACAGTGAGAATTTATGACAAACTTCCAAAACTTGTTGTTCATGTGTGTAACTGTTACACAATCTACCTTCGGAAGTCTCTTAAACTTCTAGTTTCCCATTCTAACCAATAGAAAAATAAAAAGAATCATAGAAGATAATTCCAGCTGCGACAATAAGGACTTGTGTAATAAAGATGGGCCTTGCCTTCCAACTTCATTTAATTCAAATTAGTTCAAATTAAAGACAGTCTCACACCACCCCGTGATCATGATCTGTGTGCTTTGCAACCTATTTGCGCTTAGCCAAGCACCCCGCAATCATGTGATTGTGATTTACAAGTTTCTCTGCCGGGTTCCCCAGAAAATCATTGGGGAAGCTGGCAGAAAATGTTGCAAGCTGCTGCTGCCGCCTGTAGAGACTGATTGAAAGAACTCTGTGCCTGTTTGGATTTTGTCAGAGACTCCTTTCAGCTCTGGCTGAAAGAATTTTCTGATGAAACCAAACAGGCATAGAGCAGAATTCCTTCAGCAGGGAATTCAGCCAGCCATAGAGGATTTTCAGCTGCTGATCAGAGAAGCAACACAGTAAATAATAAGCACAAGATGCTTCAGGGAGGGAGGAAGAAGTTGCAGAGCAGGCCGCGCACAAGTAGCTCTCCTCTCAGAGGCTGAAAAATCCTGTTCTGACAGGGAGGATATCTCCTAATATTTAACTTTTCCAAGGATCATTTCACAGATAAATTATAACATCTGAACTGTAACCTGGAGATCTAGACTTGCCTGCTGAGGGGATGACGACAGGACTAATGTCATCTAGGTAGCATAAAAAAAGTTTTAGCTGAGTAATTAGTCAATGATCAGCAGTGACTGATTGAATCCAGTTCCTTACTGGCGCCCATCCCCAAAAATTAAAAAAGCGTACAATATGTTAATATGCAACTTCCCTTATAACCCACACTATACAAGAGTTTTCCATCTCTATTGGTTATAGATTAGAATCTCAGTGTGTGAGACAGATGCATGCCCTTATACCAGTTGTGATTACTTCAAGGAGAAAAGACCGGGTTTTGTCTGGCAAAATACTTCCGAGATAACAGGAGGCCTGCATTTATTTGAGAATGGTGAAGAGTCACCTTCCCAATTCAGAAAGGGCTTTGCCTCGAGTTAAAATTCACTTCTGATCTTTAAGTATGTTTCAGACTGTGCTTAAGGACCCTTGCATGATTAAGAAATCTCATTCAAAAAAGAACAAGTTATCTCACCGTGAAAATCAAGTTTTATCTCCTTTGATTTATAGACAAACATGTAGAAATATTTCTTAGGGACTTTCTCACATATAAAATATAGAATGGTATCACAACCGGCCAAGTGTGCATGAATTTATAGCAACACAAACACAAGGTTTAGGTATTATTGCAGAAAGGTTAAGTATTTCAAGGCCTCACCAAAAATGTGAGTTTAATTTTTGAAAACATCAAGGCCCAGTAGTTCCTACCCTTACAAAATTACTGGTATGTCTATTCTTTTGGGGGGGCGGGGAAGAAGAGAAGAGCAATCATCTGACGGAGAGCTATTGCCTTAATTTGTACCAGGCAAATGAATCACAGAATGTAAAGACCAGTATAAAACTTGGAGACCCTAGTCCAAACTATCTCTAAAGTGAGACTGATATGGTCTAGTCATTAAAATTGCAGACTATAACACTGATTGTGGGGCCCTTGGTGTTCCCAGCTTGTTTTCTTGCAGATGTTTCATTGCCCAACTAACACTTTCAATGATGTGACCTGGTTTGATCATGAAATGTCTACAAGAAAACAACCAAGACTAACAATTAAGCCTCTTCTTTTTCTTGTTAATTTTTTGTTGCTTTTCCCTTTTTTAAATATTTTGGCATTTTGTATTTTAACCTTCTTTGAATAAGCTAAAAAATTTCCCAAATGCAAACTAACCAAATTCAGAGAACACCAAGGACCCAATATAGTTCAACCCCGAGCTATGAATCTTTTTTCAATTCTTTCATATACAACTTTTCTATTGGTACCAGAGTAGAAAAGTAGAAAACAATACCCTGATCAAGGAAATATCAAGACGACACCCCCCACCAAAATGACAGAGTAAGCTCCTGTTGGAAGTTATAACCCACCCCTCTCATAGAAAATTTAAATATTTTAGGATATACTATAAAGGCAGAATATTTCCCCCTAAAAGGGAGGTAGAAACTCATTCCCTCCACCTTTGTCAATGGGCCATTAAGGCCTCAGCATCCCATCTGCAATACAAAGAACCAATATAGCAACAGAAACTCCCCACATGGCACCTGTGAAGATTACATCAGCCAGCAAGGCTAGCTAAGACCCCCTACCCCCTGGGAGTCTGACAACCAATCAGGATACTCTTCCTGTGCCCCAGGAAGTTCAAAGCCCAGAGAGGGCATAAAACCCAGGGACTCTCAGCATCCCTTCCCTTTTCTGCTCAGGAACTCAAACCATGTGATCCTGCCCACCATTAAACCATCTTTCCAAGCTGGGCTCCATGTTTCCAGTGTCTTTTCCCCCCACTTGGAACTGAACCCAGAAGGATATTTCTTCCAACACTCCCATATATAAACAGAGATCAAGCCCCACCCACTCCCTTCTAACACTGAAGATGTTACCCAGTTGGGTAATGAAACGTCTGCAAGAAAACCACCAACCCACAGAGACCACCCTCCATTCAACCCCGATATACAAACACTCCCTTTTTATTGATAACATTCATTACTGAGTCTAAGGGTACTATCAGTTTCCCCCATTTCTAGTCCCCGCAGATCGTTACGGCCACCCACCAAAAGCAGAATAACAGGAGTTGGAGGGGACTTCGAAAGGTCTTCTAGTCCAACCCCTCTGCTCAAGCGGGAAGAAGACCTGTTATCATTGCAGACAAATGGTTGTCCAGCCTCTTAGAAGGGGTTTCTCCTGTTTGGGGTGGATCCTGCCAGCCAGGCCACGCAAACCCTTTTTTAGCAGCAACCACACAAACCAGGAAGTATATCCTGCCCGCTTCTCTTTGCCTCATCCACCCCAACAAGGTCAGGCTGCGGAAACTCCCTTCGGTCGCACAAGCCTCTTTCTCTCCCCCCCCACCCCACAACCGCCCCCCTCCCCATATTCGGTCCGAGAACGGCAGCGGGCAAAGGGGAGCCACCTTCTCAGCGTGGCGGCTGCGGCGGGCCGAGAGGGCGGCAAGAGGCCCATTCAAAGGCCGGAGGAGTCCAGTCTCAACGCGGAGGGCGGGGCACATCCAGGCCGGCTCCCCGGCAACGCTGGGCCGAAGGAAAAGCCGGAGGAGCCGGATTCTCACGACCCCCCACCCGCGGAACGAAGCGTCACACCCCCGGGCGTATTGCGCCTGCGCAGACTCCGCGCCCCCTCCCCTCCCTGAGGAGAAAACGGCCTTTTTACCTCAGCGGCGCCCGGGAAATAAGGGGAGGCCGGCGTTGAGGCCTACTCACCCCGGCGGCTCCGCCTCGGACCCTGCGGCCGCTCTTCCTCCTCCTTCTCCTCTTCCTGACCTCCGGCGCGGCGGCTCCGAGTTAGAATTCGCGGCCGACGACGGCGAAGGCCCACCGGTTCCCTCCTCCAGACGATCCTCGGTAATGGGGCGACGCCATCTTGTCTCTCCGTCCCAGCCCCGCCTTTTCCGCCTCCGCCTCCAACGGCGCCCAGCTCGGTCACGCGACGCGAAAACAGGTGGCCAATAAGAGCTGGGAGAGCGGGGGAAGGGGGCGTGTTCTTCAGCCGGAGTGGCGGAACGCCCTTCGCTCGCTCGCAAGGGACGATGGGAAATGTGGTCCAAACCTTTTGACTAGCAGCTGAGGGAAGCTCCTTCGGGGTTTTTCTATTTTTTCCTTCCTGGTTGGGAAAAAACTGGTTGGGTTTTGGGATTTACAAAAATAATAGATTATATTAATATACAGGCTGTCCTTTACTTACAACCATTTAGTGACTGTTCAAAGTGGTAACATCATTGAAAAAGTGACTTGGGACCGGTTTTTCACACTTAACGACCGCTGCAGCATCCCCAAATTTTGATCACGTGACTGTGGGGATGCTGCAACGGTCGTAAGTGTGAAAACGGTCAGTCACTTTTTTCAATGCCGTTGTCACTTTGAATGGTCACTAAGTGAGCTTGTAAATCGAGGATACAGGTAATTCTTGACTTACAAGAGTTCACTTAGTGACCATTCACTAACTGACTACCTGTATTTAGGGTCACCTGGTCATCTCCCATTTGGAGTATTGCAACATAATCTACATGGAACTACAATTTGCAGGATCCAATTAGCATCACATTCCAATGACTAAAATGACATGTATTCGACATGCATTCAACCCTAAGCGTCACTAAACGAATGGTTGTAAATTGAGGACTATCTGTAGTGGAGATTGGGCGTGGCATCCTACCTGAGGCCCAAAGCCAGATGGGTAAACTTGTATGAGTCCTTTTCTTTCAGCCGTGGAAGAAGAAAACAAAGCCCTTCTGAAAACATGCCAAGAAAACTGCAGGGATTTGTTCAGATAATTGCCAGGACATGAAGGAACGCAACAAACAAAACGTTAGCCAGGATGAGGTGTGGTGGTTCCTAATCCTCTTAAATTTAAAAAGGAAACAAAAAGACCAAAACAGCTCCTTGCCAACAATCAACACCCAGATAAGCAGGGATTAACATCAGGATTAATACCACACCAACAATCAATCATGAAATGATACCCCAATGAAGGAACAATCTACTCAAGACAAACAAGCATTAAACAACAGCATATTCAAGGAAGCAGAAAGAACATTCCATCAACATTGACAAGCCATTTGTATACAAACAAACCTCCCTCCCTTCTAGCACTGATGATGTTACCTAGTTGGGTCATGAAACATTTGCAAGAAAACAAGCTCAGAGAGCCCCAAGATTCCACACCTCTTCAATGTCTCCATCAATTAACCTTCCAGGAACTATTTAAAACTGAGTTATTCTGGATAGCCTAATTGTCACCAGTGCTGTGTGCTTTAAATTTTAATTCAACTCCATCTGAATTTAATTTACCACAGCTATTTCATTGCTATGCATTATAAGTGTTAGGAAACACCTTGAGTTTCAGGTTGTGGCACTCTATAAATTCAGCAAACAAATAAAAGAGTAACAAGCAGGTGTATTAATTTATATTTCCATGTGGCCTGAAACATTCCTTCCAAATCCAATCTAATAGTTTTAAAAAGAATATAATTTGCTGCTACTTAAATTATGCTTTTGGAAATCCTTTCTGTGAGTAGTATTTAATTTTTTTTCTAATTAGCTCACTGGAAAATAGGTCCCACTTGCTGGCTCTTTTCCATGACATATTTTCCATGATTAATCTGAGAATAATTTGGTCAAATTTTTCTGGGATTGCAAAACGGCGCAGAATTAATCGGACAACTCACATTCACAGCAGGCACCAAACTAAAATGCAGTTGGTTATTTCGTTTAGAATGTTGTGTAAACACAGTTCCTTCTTTTGTATTCATAAGTGTTGGCTTTTGTAATATTTTGCTTCCTCCTGATTACAAGAGCTTGTCTGCACCTTTCTAATATCCCTTTGACCATAAAATTCTCTGCCTTAGTAGAACTGGACAGATTTATCCTGAATTAAATTAATCATAATTTATTCCACCCTGGATACTCCAAACTTCCATGTCCAGAGGATAGGATAGGATAGAATAGGATAGGATCGGACCGTGATGGCAAACCTATGGCATACAGGTGGCACACAGCGCCCTCTCTGTGGGCACGTGACCTGTCTCCCAAGTTCAGCTCCACGCATGCGCGCGCACCTCCCACCAGCCAGCTGGTTGTTGGGTCTCTGCCGCGCAAGGGGCACGTGCGGGGGGCAACATGCGGGGGGGATGCGCACATTGCATTTTGGGGGTTTGGGTGCATGTGCATATTTGCATGCATGCGCACTTTGGGCACTTGGTCCTTAAAAGGTTAGCCATCACTGGGATAGGATAACCTTTATTGTCACTTTCTCTGTGTAAACACTAGGACACATTAAAAATTAAATTCTGATGCCCATTTTCAAAAGAATTTTAGACAGACAGGCACACACACACACACACACACACACACACACACACACACACACACATATATATATATATATATATATATATATATATATATATATATATATACATATACATACACACACACACATACCTTATACACATACATAGACCAGTGTTGGGTTTCAAATCCCGTTGCTACCGGTTGCTACCTGCTACTCGTGGGCGTGCGCACACATGCACAGAAGTGTCCGAGCATGTGGGCAGAACCTCCTGGTGCCGCCGCTACTGGTTTGCCCAATCCGGGGCGAACCGGTAGTAACCCACTACTGACAAAGACACACATATACATATGAGCATCAGTGTATTATTGTAGGACAATTCTCTCAGTGGGTTTCAAAGTTTCATGCCCCTCCTGATTTTTAAAAAGAGATTCCTTAACAAAAACCAAATAAATTAGAAAAATCTGGGGGTTGGACCAGATGACCTACAAGGTCCCTTCCAACTCTGTTAATCTGTTAAAAAAGTCAATGTGGAAATCAGATTCTCTTTAATAACCGTGTTACTAATTTAACTGCAGTAATTCACTTAAGAAATGTACCAAGAAAACTCGTAAAATGGGGCAAAAATCACTTACCAAATTTCTCACTTAGCAACATTTTTTTTTTTTAATTTTGATTTATATGCCGCCCTTCTCCGGAGACTCAGGGCGGCTTACAATGTGCTCAGCAATAGCCTTCATCCTTTTGTATATTTATATATCTTATTTTGTATATGTATATATCTTATTGCCCCTACAATTGGGTCCTCAATTTACCTACCTTAGAAAGGACGGAAGGCTGAGTCAACCTTGAGCCTTGGCGAGATTCGAACCTGCAGTAATTGCAGGCCACTGGTCTTAATAACCAGCTTAATAACAGGGTGCCTTAGACCACTGTACTACCAAGGCTCTTGGTAGTAAATTTTGGCTTCAATTGTGGTCGTAAGCTGATGACTACTGTAACTTATGACCATTTTTCACACTTATGACCGTTGCAGCGTCCCAATGGTCACATGATTTATATTTGGATGCTACATTTGGATTCATATTTATGACGGTCGCAGTGTCCTGGGGTCACGTGATTCCTTTTCACCTTTTGACAAGCAAAATCAATGGGGAAGCCAGATTCACTTAACAACCGGGTTACTAATTTAACAACTGCATTGATCGGCTTAACAAATATGGCAAGAAAATGGGCCAAAACTCACTTAACAAATTTCTCACTTAGCAACATAAATTCTGGACTCAGTTGTGGTCATAAGCTGAAGACTACCTGTACTTTTCCAGCCTGAGAAAGACTGGAGATTCTCTGTCATCCAAGTCATGGTTGTCCCAAAAGTGCTTTTTCAGGAGGCAACTGGACTTCCTTGTTTTTTTATTTTGAAGATGTTTCGCTTCTTATCCAAGAAGCTTCTTTTGCTCTGACTGGATGGTAGGGAAAGAAAGGATTTTTATTTTTTGCAGACAAGTGGTGATTTGCATCCTTTTAGGGAGTCCTTGAGGCCACTTGGAGGTTTCTCTGTGTTCTCAGGGTCACCTGAGTAATGCAAATGGTTCCTGTAGTCTGCAATTTTTCCTCTGAAAATCCATTCCTACTCCCACGCTATTCCAAGGGGGCTCATCCCAAATTGTATAACTAAAAGTCTGTAGAGATTCTCAGTCATTCAGGTCATGGCTGTCCCAGAGTGCTTTTTTCAGAAGGCACTTGAATTCCCCACCATCCAGTCAGAGCTGAAGAAGCTTCTTGGATGAGAAGTGAAATGTCTTCAAAGAAAAAACAAGAAAGTCCAGTTGCCTCCTGAAAAAGCACTTTTGGGAAGACACTACAATACTTTCAAATGCAGTAATTTTCCAACAGATGTTACTGTAAGTTTCAAGAACCACGTGCCACTGATAATTACACAGAACAGAGAAGAATGTCCTTTTCAAATTTCACAAAAACATTAACATGAATCATGCGATTTACAGACTTAAGCCGATGACTGGAATGGGGAACAAAATTAAATCATCTAGGCAGCGGATGAGAGAAAGAAAGCAGCAATTGATAAGATGATAATACACAAAAATTTTCATGAGTTCTGTTGGGAACAGAGTCCAAAATAATGATAATAAAAAAACAGAAGGCGCTCAAAATGCTGGACTTACAAAATACTGGACTCAAAATGCTTGACTTACAACCATTCGGTTAGTGATGGTTCAAAGTCAAAACGGCACTGAAAAAAGTGATTTATGGCCATTTTTCACACGACCATTACAGTGTCCCCATGGTCAGCTGATCAAAATCCAGATGCTTGCCAACTGACTCATATTTATGACGGTTGCAGTGTCCCAGTGTCATTCTGACCTTCTGGCAAGCAAAGTCAATGGGGAAGCCCGATTCACTTAACAACCGTGTTACTTCCTTAATTAACTGCAGTGATTGATTTAACAACCGTGGTGAGAAAGGTCATAAAATGGAGCAAAACTCACAACGTTAAGTGAGTTTTGCTCCATTTTATGACTTTTCTTGCCAGAGTTGTTAAGTGAGTCACTGCAGTTAAGTGAATCTGGCTTCCCCAATGCTTGTCAGGTCACAAAAGGGGATCATGTGTCCCCGGGACGCTGCAACCGTCATAAATACGAGTCAGTTGCCAAACGCCCAAATCTTGGTCACAAACCATGGGTATGCTGCAAGGGTCATTAAGTGTGAAAAACGGTCATCGGTCACTTTTTCCAATGCCATTGTAACTTTGAGTGGTCAGTAAATGAGCTGTTATAAGTCGTGGTCTGCCTGTATGCAACTCGCTTGGTGTTTCTTAATTACAGGTAGTCCTCGATTTACAACAGTTCATTTAGTGACCGTTCAAAGTTACAATGGCATTGGAAAAAGTGACTGATGACCGTTTTTCACACAATGACCATTGCAGCATCCCACAGTCACATGATCCAAATTCGGACGCTTGGCAACTGACTCACATTTATGACGGTTGCACTGTCCCAGGGTCATGTGATCCAGTAGTGGGTTCCACTTACCTTTGCTACAGGCATGCGCAGAGCGTCCGTGATGACGTCTGGGAAGGTGGGCGGAGCCTCCTGCCGCCGCCACTACCGGTTCTCGCGAACCACTAGAAATCCACCACTGACGTGATCCCGTTTTGTGACTTTCTGACAAGCAAAGTCAATGGGGAAGCCGGATTCACTTAACAACCGTGTGACTAACTTGACAACTGCAGTGATTCACTTAACAATTGTGCCAAGAAAATTCGTAAAATGGGGCAAAACAAGTAATGTCTCCGTTAACCACCAAAAAAAAATATTGGCTTCCATTGTGGTCGTAACCCGAGGACTACCTGCCATTACTCAAGCGGAGGAAAAATCCCGGCTGGGCTTTAGCCATCGAAGGTCCCCAGGCGACGCATAGGGGGCGCCATAACAACCACAATGGCGCGCCCCCAACGCGCGCTTTGGCCAATCAGGGGAAGCCTCCGCGGCCAGGCCGAACCCAAATCATCGCTCCTCCTGGCGCTTGCCCAGTTGCGGGGTTTTGTTGTTTTTTTTAACCCTGAGGGCAAGAAGCAAGTCGAGGCCGGACGGAGGAGTCGTTGCCGGGCAACCGCGAGCGAGCGAGCGGGCGGGGCGTGGTCGTCTCGCGCGCCTGCGCAGACTCTTTCACTCCCCGCCCCCCAAACCGGGCTGCCGTAAAGCGCGACGCCGTCGAAACGCTCTGCTTGGCCTCCCGCCGCGGGCGGGCGCGAAATGTCCTGAGCCGCATCCGGCCGGTGGACGGCGCGGGAGCGACCGCGCGCGGGCGGGCGGGCGGGCGAGCGAGCGGCGGCATCCCATGGTCCGTCGGGGGCGGCGGCGGCGGCGGCGGGCGTCCCTGTCCTTCCCCTCCCCCTTCATGCGGGGCCCGGGCCGGGGCCGCGCCCGAGTCGCCCCCGCCCGTTATGGCCAGGAAGACAGTTAGCAGGAAGAGGAGAGCGGCCGCCCCCGCGGCGGGGCCCGGCGGAGAGCAGGTGGGTGGCCTCCCTGCGCGCCTTCTCCCTCTCCCCCGGCGACTACAACCCCCATCGGCCCCGGCCGTCTGCTCGGAAGGTTGGCGGGACTACAGGTCCCATGCGCTCCGCTGCAGGGGAGGCGCCTATCCCATCGCTCGCTGCCCCGTCCGGAGCTTCGGATCTGGGCTGGGTTGTTCTCCTCGCTGCTATCCGGGACTACAGACTCCATCGCTCCCGTTCTAGTGGGTGGGATGACTACAGCGCCCATCGGCCACTCCCTCGTTGCCATCGGTCCCAGCCGGGACTACAGCGCCCATCGCTCCCGTTCTACTATCTTTCCTATGCTTTCCTATGCTGAGCGCGTCGTGGGGGGGCGGGGAGTCTCCGGACTACAATGACTATCCTCCCCTCCTCCTGGCTCCCAGCCGCAACTACAGCCCCTATCCTCCCCACTCGAAGGGATGGGATGACTACACTCCCCCTCGTCCCCGTCCTCCTTCTAAGCACGCTGACGGGTGGGGAATAGGCGCCGGACTACCTTCCCCATCGCCCCCAGCCAGAAACGGGCATCCCAGGAGGGGTCACGGCACCCATCGCTCCCTCCCTTCTAATAAGAGCGTTTGGGGACTGCAGGTCCCATGCTCCCCGCGGGAGCAGGGGGAGGGAGGGCGCCGGACCCTTCCCATCGCTCCCATTCAAGGGAATGGGATGACTACAGCCCCCATCAGTCCCTCCCGCCTTCTAACCGCCTCTACGCTCGCAGGACCGCAGCTCCCATCCTCCATCCCGCGGGCGGAGGCCTTCCGGACCCCTTGCCCATCGCTCCCCGCCGGGACTACAGAGCCCATCGCTCCCTCCTCTCTTCCTAACTGCAACTCCCATCCTGCCCGCGGGCGGTGGCCCTTTGCCCATCGCTCTCAGCTGGGACTACAGCGCCCATCGCTCTGTCCCCCACGGGCGGTGGCCTTCGGGACCCCTTGCCCATCGCTCCCTCCCCTCCTCCTAACCGCAGCGCCCATCCTCCTTCCAAACCCCTTGCCCATCGCTCCCAGCCGGGACTACAGAGCCCATCGGCCCGCAGCACCGTGGGGGGGAACGTGGGGGCGCGGGCAAGCCTTGGGGCCGTTTCCGGGGGGGAGGGAGGGGTCTTGCGCCCGAAGATCGGCCCGTAGGGCGCCGGGTTGGCGTTATGGTCGTGTGAACGCGTTTCTTCTCTATCCCGTGTTCGCAGGAGGGAGGGGCAGGAAAGGGTTAACGCCTCTTTGGCTGAGGAGGCGGGGCTGATTTAATGAGCTGATGAATGACAGCCTAGCTCTGGTTTCCCTCAGCACTGCTCCCTTTCAGATGGCTGGACTGCAATTCCCAGAATTCCCCAGCTGGCATGGCCAGCTGGGGAATTCTGGGAGTTGAAGTCCACATGTCTTAAAAGTTACCAAGTTTTTTGTTTTTGAGAGCCCAAAAGGGTATTAGTAAGCAAAGGTGGCTGGGGAATTCTGGGAATTGGATTTACCCCCCCCCATCTGAAAGCCCCCAAGTTTGGGCAATGCTGGTTTAGCCAAAGGCTTTTGCAGGAAGCGCATGAGAGTTTGGATTTGATCTTGGCTTGGACTCTTCCATGTTTTATTTGTATTCATTTTATTTTATTCACTAATTAGGGTTAGAGTATTTATCTTTTTATATCGTAAAGTATATATCCTAAGATATCATATATTATCATATAATAATTGTAAATAAAAAAATAGATTTATGTACTGCCCATCTCGTCTAGAGATGACTGTGAGTGGCTTACAAATGTTACTTCGTAGTAATAAAACATAATAGTTTTAGAGTACAGGTGGGCCACCACTTGCGACTACAATTGAGGCCAAAATTTTTGTTGCTAAGTGAGACATTTGTTAAGTGACTTTTGCTGACTTACAGGCGGGGTGAGCAGCAATTTAAAATTATGCCAAATGTAACTATGCAAACGAGGACTGTATAAACAGCCTGTTGAAAAGTAAATTGGGAAATAATGAGGCACAAGCTTTTTTTTGCGGGGTGGGAAATCCTCCAGCTGATGGGAAAAAAATAGGCTTTTTAAATAAGCACACCCAGGTCTTCATGATTTTCCGAAAAACCAGTAGAGTTGGGGCCAAATTGACAAATGTTATTAGTTTATCGACGTATAAAATAGGAAGAAAAAAAAGAAAATAATGGGGAAATTTAGGAAGGAAAATGGAAGAGGAAAAACTGTACAGTAAAAGGGAAGAGAAAAAGATTATTGACTTCTGAACTCATTTTAGCCCAATAGAATAAGGACTACAATTGAGGCCAACATTTCTGTCACTAAGTGAAACATTTGTTAAGTGAATTTTGCTTCATTTTACAACCTTTCTTGCCACATTTGTTAAGTGAATCAGGACAGTTATTTATTTATTTTATTTATTTTATTAATTTTTTTATACCGCCCTTCTCCTGCTGGACTCAGGGCGGTGAACAGCCAAGAATAAAAAAACATCCAATACAAAATTTAAAATTATTAAAAGAATTAAACAAATTTTGGCCCAGATTTAAAACATCCCAACTAAAATCCGTTACAATTAAAATATCTAAGGGTGGAGGGGGGGTTACGCCAGCCCAGCTTGGTGAAATAGAAAAGTTTTGAGATCTGGTATCCTATGTTATTAAGTTAGTAACACAGTTGTTAAGTGAATCCGGCTTCCCCCTTGACTTTTCTGGTCAAAGGGGATCATGTGACCCTGGAACACTTCAACCGTCATAAATACAAGTCAGTTGCCAAACATCTGGATTTTGGTCACCATGGGGATGCTGTAATGGTCATAAGTGTGAAGAACGGTCGTAAGTCACTTTTTTTCAGTGCCGTTGTAACTTTGAACCGTCACTAAATGAACTGCTGTAAGTTGAGGACCACCTGTATTAACATATAGCAGAGATGGCTAACCTTTTCCGGACCGAGTGCCCAAAGCGTATGTGCACACCTGAACGCCCAAAATGCAATGCGTGCACGGCGCTTGGCACATGTGCCCCGCCCCCCACGCATGCGTGCCCCCTCGCATGTGCCCCATGTACACACACAAGCCCCCCACGCATGTGACGCCCCCTCCACGCATGCGTGGCAGAGACCTGAAGACCAGCTGGCCGGCGGGAGGCAGGTGGGCAGTGGAGCTGAACTGGGGCGACAGCTCGCGTGCCATCAGAGATGGCGCTGCGTGCCACTTCTGCCACGCATGTCATAGGTTCGCCATAACAGACATATAGGCTCAGCCTTTTACTTTTGCCTAATAATATATAGTAACAACAAACCTATCTAATCTGCAAAACCCAAAATCAAGGTTTCATCTTTTTCTCACCCCGAGCACAAAGTCCAGAAGTGGTTTCCAAGTAGAAACTAAAGAAATTGCACTTTTGTCTTTAATCAAAGCAGTCGGTTTGGCCATCTCTGCTTCCCCCATCGGCTTTTGTAGCCATTTGTCCACTGTGGGAATCAAAGTACAGGCAGTCCTCAATTTAGAACAGTTCATTTAGTGACCATTCAAAGTTACGACATCACCAAAAAAAACGGCTTACAGACCATTTTTCACACAACCATTGCGGCATCCTCATGGTCACATGGTCAAGACTCAGACAGTTGGCAAATGGCTCATATTTATGACGGTTGCTGTGTCCCCGGGGGGGGTCACATGATCCCCTTTTGCGACCTTCTGACAAGCAAAGTCAATGGGGAAACCAGATTCAATTAATAACCATGTGACTACCTTGACATCTGCAGTGATTCACTGAACAACTGTGGCAAGAAAGGTCGTTAAATGGGGCAAAGCTCACTTAACAAACGCCTTGCTTAGCAATGCAAATTTTGGCCTCTATTGTGGTTGTAAGTTGAGGACTAGCTGTATACTTCCATTTTTGTGCATAGATCATTCTGGATCCTATAGCATCATATTTTTGACGTTCTTTTTCACGCTTTTTGTCCATTAAAGGGGTCAAATGGAGCTTCAGGTTAGGCCTTTTTGTGGGGCAAACGTACCCAATAGCAGATCTTCCTTCTGGATCTAATCAGAGAGACCTATTTCACTCCCTTGCAGAAGGGCTGAGGAATTCTGGGAGTTGAAGTCCACAAGTCTTAAAGTTGGCCAGGTTGGAAAACACTATTTAGAGCAGGGGACCCCAACCTGTGGGTCACAGCTCCCTAGTGGACTGTGCGGGGTTTTTGCAACCGGGCCGCAGAAACGGCTGGCAAGTGCACACCCATGCGTCCTTATGCACAAGCAGCAGGCGAGCACGCACGTGTGCATCCCCACTTAGAATCAAATAGAATAATAACTTTATTGTCACTTTAAATGCACACTGATCAGCACGCCTTAAAATGAGATTCTGTTGCATACATTGCTCTCAAAGCGTCACCCCTTCCAATATACAACTACGGAAACACGACAAAAAAAAATTAATGCATATACCCACATACACACACTCATCTATGACCCAGAGAAACAACACAGTCTAGTTCGGATGTATACAGATACACAGCGAGAAAAATGAACCTCACGAGTTTTACCAGACGGAAGCATGCAAGCGCGCTCCATTTAAATGAGCAGCTGGCACACGTACAGGCCGCTCGTGCAAATGAAGCTGTGCACACTTGCCAGTCGCTCACGCGGAACCATCCCCTCTCTTTTCCCCCGGCTGATTCGCAAAGCTGCTAAAATTTGGGGAACTCAAACGTTGCATTAAGCTGCGTTAACTGAGGGATACAATCAAGATCAAGGGAGGTCCTAATACCACTCTATAAAGCCTGAGTAAGGCCACACCTAGAGTCCTTCATCCAGTTTTGGTCACCAACCAATAAAAAAGAGTTTGAGACTCTAGAAAGAGTGCAGAGAAGAGCAGCCAGGATGATTAGGGGACTGGAGGCTAAAACATACGAGGAACGGTTGCAGGAACTGGGCATGGCTAGTTTAGTGAAGAGAAGGACCAGGGGAGATAGGATAGCAGTCTTCTAATACTTGAGGGGCTGCCCCAGAGAGGAGAGGGGGGTCAAGCTATTTCCCAAAGCACCCAAAGGCCAGACAAGGAACAATGGATGGAAACTGAACAAGGAGAGATTCAACCTGGAAATAAGGAGATATTTTCTAACAATGAGAACCATCAACCCATGGAACAGAAGTTGCCTTCAGAAGTTGTGGGAGCTTCATCCCTGGAGGCTTTCAAGAAGAGACTGGACTGCCTTCTGTCAGAAATGGTGTAGGGTCTCCTGCTTGGGTGGGGTGGGGGTTGGACTAGATGACCTACAAGGTCCCTTCCAACTCTGTTAATCTAATCTAATCTAAAAAAACCTCCAGTTTAGAGATTTTTTTGTCCTTAATTTTCCCGCAGTACGGCTGGGATCACTCAGTTCACAAAAGGAAGAGGCTTCCGCCAGTGAAGCGGTCCTTGGTGTGCTACCTGAAAGGACGAGAGGTGCGGCTTTCCAACGATTCCAGCTACCACCGCTTGCTGCATGCATACGCAGCTCAGCAGCTGCCCGGGTTGCTGAAGGAACGAGAATTTCACCTGGGCACTCTTAACAAAGTCTTTGCGTCGCAGTGGTTAAACCACCGGCAAGTGGTGTGCGGGACGAAATGCAACACGGTAAGGGCGCGTTCCTGTGGTTATTGCCTTGATGTTTCTTCCACCAGGGCTTGGATGGCGCAAAACTTAATGCCCGCTGTTAGTCCTCCAAGGTAAACCAATCAGAAGGGCGAGAGGAAAAATGGTAATTTTTTTTTGAATGTGTGACTTTATGAAATCCCTCTGGATTATAGAGGTGGCTATAAGAATGAGAGAGGAATCTCCAATGGCAGTTTTGGAGATGGCAAGGTTGACTCAGCCTTCCATCCTTTCTAAGGTAGGTGAAAAGAGGACCCAGATTGTGGGGGCAATAAGATGACTTTGTATAAATATACAAAAGTATGAAGGCTATTGCTTAACGCACTGTAAGCCGCCCTGAGTCTCCGGAGAAGGGCGGCATATAAATTAAAAAGCAAAGCAAAAGCAAATTTTAAGACTTGTGGACTTCAACGCCCAGAATTACCCAGCCAGTATGGCTGGCTGAGGAATTCTGGGCGTTGAAGTCCACAAGTCTTAAAGACGCCAAGTTTGGAGGCTCCTGGATTAAGAACAGACTCATCTCCCCACCTTTCCATGTGCATCTTGCTCCCTTCCTCCCCATCTTTTAATTGCAAATTATGGCTCATCACAGTTATCCAGATGTTCAGACTGGATCTGGCATTTTTATCCACATACCGAGTTCTTCCCAAGGACCTGGGATAGGCAGATCAAGATGTTTTGAAGATGTTGCTGTTTTGTGATGTGAAAGATACCGTCGCAGGATGGCAGCTGTTCCGAGTCAAGCTGCCTTCCTTTTGCAATTGACTGAAGGGGATTTTGTCAATGCCGATGGCGTTCAAGTGGTGCTCCAGTTGTTTTGGGATTGAATCCAAATCTCTTTATCACTTGTTGGTATTGCCTTTACTTTCTTTGGCCACAGTCGTCGTACTTCTCTTTGCAGGTCTTTGTATTTTGTGATTTTCTCCAGCTCTTTCTCTTCTCTTCTGTTGTCTCCAGGCACTGCCACATCCACTACCCAGACTTTTTTTATCTGTCTTATCAACAGTTGTTAAGTCCGGGGTGTTATGTGGCAGATGCCTGTCTGTCTGAATTCTAAAGTCCCAGAGCAATTCTTCATTTTCTATGTCTTTCTCTATGATCCCAAAAGTTGTCGCTTGCAGGTAAATGATATCTCTTGCAGATTTTCCAATGGGCCATTGTGGCTACTTCCTTTTTTTGCCACCTCTTGCTTCTAACATCCGTGTAGAGGAGGTCAGGAGACCTGGTCTGCCCTGTAGTCACAACAGGTGTGTCCCTTCTTGTTGACTGTTCTTTAGTAAGGCTGGAGAAAATGCGGCCGAACCGGATCGGCCTGGATGAGGCTTAATTTTTTTTTTTATGGTGTCTTGTTGACTATCACACCTGAGTTGCTTTTCTGACTTAACTCTGGAACAATCAGAAACGTCCGTCTGGGCTTCTGCCTCGGGGTGCTTAAACATGGTTTTGGGCACTCCTGAATTTCATTTGATGTATCTGTTGTACTAAGAACGTGGTTTCCTGGAAGACGATGCCCACCGTGCAGAAATGGGCATCGTCATCCTTGAAAACGCATGAACGGGAAAGTTGTACGTACCTCAGATCAGGGGTGAGTGGGGTATTGATTTTCCTGTTATAGACTATTGCCTTGCTCTGTCGTCGTTGGTAGAGAGTGTTCTTGGTGAAGAGCAAACCCTACTCCCTTTTAGCACTGATAGTGTTACCTAGTTGGGTCATGAAACGTCTGCAAGAAAACCACCAAGCTCAGAGAGCACCAAGGACCCCACAATTCTCCTCCTCCTCCTCCTCCTCCTCTCCACAAAGTCCACTCCCTTCTAGCACTGATGACATTACCTAGTTGGATCATGAAATGTCTTCAAGAAAACCACTAAGTTCAGAGAACAGCAAGGACCCCACAGTAGTTCCCTAAACCCCATTCCCTTTTAGCACTGATGATGTTACTTAGTTTGGTCATGAAATGTCTGCAAAAAAAAAAAAAAACCAAGCACAAAGGGTATCAGGGATCGTACAGCCTCCTCCTCCTCCTCCTCCTCCTCCTCCATCATTTTGCAAACCCCAAGTGCTGATGACATTACATAGTTGGGTCAGGAAATGTCTGCAAGAAAACCAGCAAGCTCAAAGAGCAGCAAGGACCCCACAGTACTCCTCTTCCCCCACTTCTCCTCCTCTCTGCAAACTCCACTTCCGTCTAGCGCTGATGACGTTACCTAGTTGGGTAACTAAATGTCTGCAAGAAAACCACCAAGCTGAGAGCACCAAGGGCCCTCCAGTTCTCCTCCTCCTCCTCCTCCTCTCTGCAAACCCCACTCCCTTCTAGCACTGATGATCTTACCTAGTTGGGTCATGAAACATCCGCAAGAAAACGACCAAATTTGGGAGAGCACCAAGGACCTCACCATTCAACTCTGTGCTGCAAATATTCTCTGCTATAAATGAGCCCATTGTTCACCTTTCTTGTCTCTTGCAGTTGTTTGTAGTCGACGTCCAAAGTGGGCAGATCACCAAGATTCCCATCCTGAAGGATCGAGAGCCCCACATCGTCAACCAGCAGGGCTGTGGGATCCATGCCATCGAGCTCAACCCTTCCAGGACCCTCTTGGCCACCGGGGGCGATAACCCCAACAGCCTCGCCATTTATCGCCTGCCCACCCTCGATCCCGTGTGCGTGGGAGATGTAAGTCCCTGCAAAGATGGGAAAGCTTTGAGTTTAGCCATCAAAAGGTCAGATCGGACACAGGAAGTCCTCGACTTACAGCCGTCTGTTTAGTGGCCGTTCAAAGTTGCAACGGCGCTGAAAAAAGTGACTTAGGACCCTTTTTTCACACTTGCGACGCTTACAAAAATTCAGAGGCTTGGCAACTGGCATGTACTTATGACTGTTGCCGTATCCCAGGGTCATGTGATCCCCTTTGGTAACCTTTGGACATAGAAAATCAATGGGGAAGACAGATTTGCTTAACAACTATGTTACAAACTTATCAACTGCAGTGATTCGTTTAACAATGGAGACAAGAAAGGTCGTAAAGTCTCACCGACAATCCATTGTGGTCGTAAGTCAGGGATTACCTGTATTGCCTTGCTAACTTAGGTGACGAGTTGGTTAAAATCCTTCCGAATTGTTGGGGCCTGGAAAGGTAAATGATTGAGTCAACTTGTTCTCTTTTCGATTACGCAGTTAGTCCTTGACTTACGACTGTTCGTTTAGCGACCATTCTAATTTATGTTGGCACTGAAAAAGTGACTTATGATCACTTGTCACGCTTAACGACCATGGCAGCGTCCCCCATAGTTACGTGATCAAAATTTGGGTGCTTGGCAACTGGCATGTACTTACGATGGTTGCACTGTCCCGGGGGGGGCAGGGGGGGTCCACATGATCCCCATTTGTGACCTTCCCAGCCAGGTTCAGACAAGCAAACTCAATGGGGAAAGCTGGATTTACTTAATATGTGATTCACTTAACAACCTGCAGAGTTTCACTTAACAATGGTGCCAAAAAAGATAATAAAATTGGATATGATTCACTTAACAGATGCCTTGCTTAGCAACGGAAATTCTGGGACCAGAATTTCTTTTGTAAGTCAAGGACTGTACTGTATCTGTACTCAAGTACTATAAAAATATGTTAAAATTTCTTCAATGATTGGTGAGAACTGACTATGCTACAATCACCTGATTTCTTTGCCTTCACGTTATTCCTTCCTTCTTTCTTTTTAGGATGGGCACAAAGATTGGATATTTTCTATTGCATGGATCAGTGATACAATGGCTGTTTCTGGTAACACTCAAACTTTATTTTTTTTTATTTATTTTTATTTTTATTTTTATTATTATTATTATTATTATTATTATTATTATTATTATTATTATTATTATTATTAGGAGATGTGTTTAAATTTATTCATTACAGCCATGAGGCCAGATATAAGCAAAATGTTGAATAAAAAATATTACAACTTTCTATATCAGGGGTTCTCCAAACTTGGCTATTTTATGGTTTGTGGGCTTCAACTCTCAGAATTCCCCAGCCAATGCATGCTGGCTAGGGAATTCTGGGAGTTGGAAGTCCACAAGTGGTAAAATTGCCAAGATTGGAGGCCACTGTGTTCTATCTATATCTATATATCCATATCCATATCCATATCCGTATCCATCTATCTATCTACCTATCTATCCATCCATATATCTGTACCTCTCTCTCTCCCTCTGTTCTTCCCTCCTTCCCTCCCTCCAGCTATCTATCAATCATCTATCTTATCTATCTATCTATCAGTCGATTATCTATCATCTAGCTGGCTTCTCCAGAGATAAGAGATAAAAACATTGTGCCAAGTATATGGTATTCATATTTTTATAGTATTTTATTCTCATTATATGCATGTTTTGTATAGTTTTATCCTTGTTTAACGTTCTAAACTGTCCATTACTAGACGGCCTACAAATTAGAATAGGATAGGAGATGGATAGGATAGGATAGGATAGGATAGGATAGGATAGGATAGGATAGGATAGGATAGGATAGACAAATGGTTGTCCCATCTCTTCTTAAAAACCTCCAGTGTTGGGAGGATTCACAGCTTCTAGAGGCAAATTATTCCATTGATGAATTGTTTTCCCTGTCAGGAAATTTCTCCTTAGTTCTAGGTTGCTTCTCTCCTTGATTAGTTTCCACCCGTTGCTTCTTGTCCTGCCCTCAGGTGCTTTGGAGAATAGCTTGACTCCCTCTTCTTTGCGGCAACCCCTCAAACATTGGAATATTGCTATATCCTTCCTTTCATTAAACTAGAAATGCCCAATTCCAGCAACCATTCTTTAAATTGAATGACTAAATAAATCCTTCTCCTTTCTTGGACCTGCGTTCGATGCGTGCTTGAACGTGCTTCTTTCCGGTAGGCTCCCGAGATGGGTCAATGGGCCTCTGGGAAGTGACGGATGAAGTCTTGGCCAAGAGTGACGCACGGCGCAACCTGGCGCAACCTGTCCCCGTCTATGCACACATAACCCACAGGGCACTGAAGGACATCCCCAAGGAGAACACTAATCCCGCCAACTGCAAAGTCCGGGCGCTTGCTTTCAACAACAGGAACAAGGTGAGGAAGACGAAGCAATGACCCTGGAAAAACAGATAGTCCTCGACGTACGACCACAACCGAGGCCAACATTTCCATTGTTAAGTGGGACATTTCTTAAGTGAGTTTTGCCCTGTTCTGACGACCCTTCCTGCCTCCGTTGTTAAGTGAACCACTGCAATTGTTCAAGTCAGTCACATGGTGTTGAAGTGAATCTGGCCTCCCTGTTGACTTTGCTCGTCAGAAGGTCGCAAAAGGCGGTCACGTGACCCCGGGATGCTGCAACAGTCATAAGTACATGCCAGTTGCCAAGCATCTTAATTTTGATCGCGTGACCTTGGGTAGGCTGCCACGGTTGTAACTGAAAAATGGCCATAAGTCACTTGTTTCAGTCCCATTGTAACTGTTGTAAGTCAAGGAATCCCTCCATTTCTACAGGTAGTCCTCGACTTACAACAGTTTATTTAGACCGCAGACAGCTACCCTGTTCTGGTGCCCTGCTAAGCCGTAAACCCTCATTTAGACATGACAGTGACTTACATTCATATGTTGCTAAGCCAAAACCAAACAATCTGGTGATTTCTGCAATACAGGGAGTTCTCGATTTACAACCGTTTATTTAGTGATTGTTTGACGTTACAACGGCACTGAAAAAAAGCCAGTTTTCACACTTATGACCGGTTTTTGCTTCCCTATGGTCACGTCACATGATCAAAATTCAGTTGCTTGGCAACTGACACATTTATGACAGTTGCAGCATCCCGAGATCACGTGATCCCCTTCATGACAAGCAAAGTAAGCGGGGAAGCCAGATTCACTGAATGACGATGTTCCTTAATTAAGAACCCAGGGATTCACTTAACTGTGAGAAGAGAGTCATAAAATAGTAGCCAAGCTCAATTGACAACTCTCTCGGTTAGCAATGGAAATTTCAGGCTCAATTGTGGTCGTAAGTCAAGGACCACCTGCATATGAACTCAGCCTCTGTTTTCAGAAAAAGCAAAATGGCTAAGTATTATGGATGTAAGTAGAAGCTTTCACATCCCAGTCGCTTGAACAGTTAATATTTTTTCTCTTCCAGGAACTGGGAGCTGTTTCTCTGGATGGATATTTCCACCTCTGGAAAGCAGAACACATGCTGTCCAAGGTAACTCCCTTCACACCTGCACACACAAGTTAATCAAACAGAACAGTTTAGTTGGAAGGGATCTTGGAGGTCTTCTAGTCCAACCCCCTGCTCAGGCAGGAAACCCTATACCCCTGATGGCGAACCTGTGGCACGTGTGCTGGAAGTGGCAGGCAGAGCCATGTTGCCTGGCATGTGTGGCGTCGCCCATTCCTCTTCCGGGTTTCCAGCGCACATATGCACACTGGCCAGCTAGTCTTCTGGTCACTGGTTCGCACGTGTGCGCGACAATCAGCTGGCCTTCATACATGCCAGTGTCACTTCACATGGCACTTCACAGTGCCAGAAACCGGAAGATCAGCCAGCCAGCTGATCGTCCATTCCCGGCGTGTGCATGCCTACTGGCCATTCTTCTTAGCGCACGTGCACACCGGGCAGGCCGTCGACGCCCGCATGCAGCCCTGCGACATCCACCCCCTTGCCAGCCAGGAGTGCTGCCACCAGTCGCTCCCCTGCATCTGCCCGCCTTGTCACTGCCACCACTGCTGCAAGGAAAGGCCCCAAAGCTGCGCTTCCTGGGATCCATGTGGGCTGCCGCAGGGGGAGACCAGGCATGGCTGGCTGGATGCTGCCCGGAGCGGGAGGCTGGCAGGAGGAGAAGGAGCCGCCGCTGTCTCTTAGCCGGCACAAATGGCCTGCTGTCGCAGTCTGCCGCCTCCCTCTCTCCCCCGCTGACTGCTCTTGCCACTGCCAGGGAAGCAGCAGCGGTAGCGCGAGAACTGCCACCACCAGGGGCAAGGGGGTGCCAGCGGCAAGGACAGGCGGGCCGGGGCTTCCCTTCCTTCCCGCCGGAGGCTTGCGGCTACAGAAGAAGCCCGCTCAGGTGGGGAGGGAGGGAAGTGTGCCCCCTCGCTCCGGCAATTCTCCCATTGCTGATTTCCCAGTGGCGGAGGCTTGGGGCTGGCAAAGTTTGGTGCAGGAGGCTTTCCAGGCCCAAAATGGGGCGCATGTGCGGGGGCCACATATGTGGGGGGCGTGCATGTGTGGGGGAATGTGTGGGGGTTGTGCTTTTGGTTCTGATTTTGGTTCGTTTATTTAAACGTCCTTCGGAGCTTCTGTGGTTCCGAGTTTTCATCAAGGTTTTTTCCCTCTCTCGCTTTTGCAGCTCCTCTCCACCAAGCTGCCCTACTGCCGGGAAAACGTGTGTCTGGCCTATGGTCAGGAGTGGTCGGTGTACGCCGTTGGGTCTCAGGCCCACGTCTCTCTCCTGGACCCCCGACAGCCTTCCCACAAGGTTAAGTCTGTCTGCTCCAGAGAGCGAGGAAGTGGTAAGGAGGCCTTCCGTGAAACATTTGGGTTTGTGTATGAAAAATGTGTGGAGATGCAGCTCTTTTTGTTTTCCAACTCGGAGCCCTGCAGGTGCTTATGGATTTTCCTTCCTTCCTTCCCTCCCTCCCTCCCTCTCTTTCTTTCTTTCTTTCTCTTTCTTTTCCTCCCTTCCTTCCTTCCCTCCCTCCCTCCCTTTTTTCTCTTTCTTTCTCTTTCTTTTTCTCTCTCTTTTCCTTCCTTCCTTCCTTCCTTCCTTCCTTCCTTCCTTCCTTCCTTCTCTTTCTTTCCCTCCCTCACCCTTCCCCTTTCCCGTATTTACAATGGTTGCAGTATCCTTGGGGATTCTCATTTGCAACCTTGGGGAGTTTCTGACAAGCAAAGTCAATGGGCGGAGCCAGATTCACTTAAGGACCACGTCATTCACTTGAGTCCAGCGATTTGCTTAACTACAGTAGCAAAAATCGTAAAACGGGGCAAGACTCACTGAACAACTATCCCGCTTAGCAATGGAAATTTTGGGCTCAATTGTGGTTGTAAGTCAGGGACTAGCTATAGGGCCGGGATTTGTTTCCGGTTCCCATATAACGCCTCCGTCCTTCTTCCGCCACAGGCATCCGCTCCGTGAGCTTCTACGAACACATCATCACGGTGGGGACGGGACAGGGCTCCTTGCTGTTTTACGACATCCGAGCCCAGAGGTTCCTGGACGAGAAACCGCCACAGAATTTCTACGGATCAAAATTGGCAGGAAGTGAAATTCTCAAACTCTCAACCGGCAAAGGTTGGCTGGTGAGTCACTGCAGAAGGAGGAAACGGGGGGTCATGTAGGCTCCCCGGGGGTGGGGGTGGGGGCATGTTGAGAGGTCAACAGGAGGTGTCCTCAGACTACGGAGACTCTTAGAAACCAGGTGCTTTGCATAGGTTTGTCCTTCAGTAGTTTGCGTTATCAAGATGGAAGGGAGAGTTGGTCAGCTAAAGCAGAGCTATGAGGGATTCCAAAACTTCCCCAGCAATCACTCAATTGGTCTAGTGATGAAGGCACCAGCTAGAAACCAGGAGGTGGTGAGTTCTAGTCCTGCCATACGCATGTAAACTGGCTGGGTGATTTTCTGTCAATCACCACGAAGCTCTTGAGTTCTAGTCCCACTTAAACATGAAAACTGGCTGGGCGACTCTGAGCCAGTCACCAGGGGACAGTGAGTTCTAGTTCCGCTTTAGGCATGAAAGCCGGCTGGGTGATTTTGGGCCAATCAGTAGGAGACAGTGAATTCTACTCCCACTTTAGGCATGTTGACTGGGTGACTTTGGGCCAATCATCAGGAGTCTGTGAGTTCTAGTCCCACATTAGGCAAGAAAGCAAATGGTGTCTTTGGGCCAGTCTCTCAAGTGACAACCTGGTCAGTTAATTCCTGTTGGTACACACCATCGATGCGATAAACCCAGAATCTGTATTTGGGGGTAAACCAGGAATTGCGTTTCTCTTGTGTTGTAGTTCTCCTCTCTTTCTTCCTTGGTCTCGGAGGTGTACAGGCAGTCCTTGACTTACAGCACTTCATTTAGTGACCGTTGAAAGTTGCAGTGGCACTTTTAAAAAGTCGCTGCTTTTCATACGACCGATGCAGCATCCCTATGGTCACGTGATTAAAATTTGGGTGCTTAGCAGTGAGCTCGTATTTATGACGGTCGCAGTGTCCCGGGGTCACGTGATCCCCTTTCGCAACCTTCTGTCAAACAACGTCCGCGGGGAAGCCCGATTCACTGAACAACTGCGTGACTAACTTGACAAGAACTCAACTCAACTCGAGAAGGGCTCAATAATTGTGGTCGTAAGTCGAGGACCCGCCTGTACAGATCAGCTCTTGGGAAGGCAGCTGGTTGCATCTCTAACCGACGTCCGTTTCCTTTTGACAGAATCATGATGAAACCTGGAGGAATTACTTTTCGGACATCAGTTTCTTCCCCAACGCCGTTTACACGCACTGCTACGACTCGTCGGGCACGAAGCTTTTTGTGGCAGGAGGTCCTCTTCCTTCCGGACTCCACGGGAATTACGCCGGCCTCTGGAGCTAGTGACACTTTTCCCCGGGGAAAAAAAAGCCTCTGGAAGCGTGACTTTCTCCTTCTCCTCCTCCTCCTCCTTCACCTTCATTTTCTCTCCTTTTTTAAAAACAAAAGGATTTGCGTGGTGGACATTCCCGTCTTCTGGTTTTGATGCCACTCGGGGTTTAAACATTTTTTTTTTTTTTAAGGAGGGGAAACCGTCGATCCCGTCGGGTCTCCCAGAAGTTTTTGTACATTTTTAAAAATGGGGTGTGTTGTTGGGTTTTTTTTTTCTTTTTGGTTGCTGTTGTTGTGGTGGTTGTTGACCTGCTTTTAACTTTCTACAATAGACTGAGGGTTGGCGCCCTTTTTATTGCGTTTCCTAAAAATGGCGGCGTCTTCGCCCCCGAGCTTAGGCTGACCGACCGACCATAAGTCTCATTTTTCTCCTCTTACTTCGCTGGGAGGTAGGATCCCTCGATTCGATCGGCTGCTGCCGAGCTTTCTATGAAAGCCCAGGGGCTGTTTGTGTGTGCGCGCGCGTGCGCACGCATATGTGTGTACATGTATGTGCAGGTACTTTGTCGGTCACCTTTCCTGGAATAAAAACAATCTAATTAAAAATCAAAATGTATTTATACGGCAGGCCCTTCTACCTAATCCACAGAGTTAGGCCTGCCCTGCCCCTTAACTCTGGGTCAACCTTTAAAAAGTGCAGGTTTCACAACGATGCCGTTTTCATTGCTCCGTCGTTTTTTGATTTTGTTTTAATATATAAAGGCAACCATGTTCATTCAATAGAGACACATTAAAGACAATCCCTGAGACCCATATATAATGTGCTCACGCACTGGTGTTCTGTCCCCGTCTCACACACGCACACAAATAGACAGCCGGGGGTTAAATAAACTGGCAGACAACCAATTCTGCCAAGAGGCTTGGCAGCTTATCCGATAAGCTGCTTGCCAAGAACTTTACTCATAAACAAGATACACACAGTTCAAGAATTGTCCAGTCCGTAATTAAATCCAAGGCGGATAATGTTGTTTCCAAAGATGCAATGTGACTCGATAGTAGTTAGTTTTGTCCATCACAGAGTCTGAATGGCCACCTCACCCCCTTTTATACCCTGTGGGGTGTGGTCCAGTGACTCAGCTTAATCTCTGGCATGCCTCTTCTTCTGTTGCACGTGCTTATCTCTGCGACGCTGCCGAGGATCCAGCCAAGACTCATCTCCCTCATTACTATCTACCTGTGGCTGCGTGGACGTGCTTGGCCCTGGCCCTATCTCTTGCCCTTCGGCGGACACCAAAGGCATTGCCAGAGAGGAGGGTCCTGGAGAGGGAGGCCTTGCCAACTCCTCTCCTTCACTCTTGGAGTCCTCTCCTGCCGATGACACAGGCTCAGGTAACGGAGCCACAACAACTGGTTTAGCAGAAGCAGTTGTGAACTCAGTATGTGGATAAGTGCTTTTACGCATATATACACACACACACACACACACACACACACACACACACACACCCCGAGTGGGGCGGTGGCCTAGAGGTGGAGCTCTCGTCTCACAATCAGGAAGCTGTGAGTTCGATCCTAGGTAGAGGCAGATTTGCAGGTTCTTTTCTCTCAGCACGATGAGAATGTATCTGCTGAACAAAACTCCGCATTGGCGACAGGAAGGGCATCCGGCTGGTAAACATTGCTAGCTCCATTCAGTTGCCCAGACTCCACAAACACAGACACATATACATACACATATATACACACACATACACGTTTTTGTTTTTGTTTTGAAAAGCTGGCGAATAAGCTACACAGAGTTCTTCATCCACACTCTCAGATAATGTTCGGTTGAAGCTAGCTGCTTTCCAGCTTTTAGACCGATGTTTTGTTTTTTAAAAATGGCTTCATATAGATTGTGTTTCTAGGGTTTTTTGTTTTTTGTTTTTTAAAAAGCAACTTCATCAACTATGAATGCCCCAAAGGAGAAGAAATTGCAGAGGGGAGGGTGCAGCAGTGGTGAAATCCAAATTTTTTTCACTACCGGTTCTGTGGGTGTGGCTGGGTGGGTGTGGCAGGGGAAGGATACTGCAAAATCTCCATTCCCACCCCACTCGGGGGCCAACCAGAGATGGTATTTGCCAGTTCTCCGAACTACTCAAATTTTCCGCTACCGGTTCTCTAGAACCTATCAGAACCTGCTGGATTTCACCCCTGGGGTGCAGACATGGGTCTTCAGAAATGGAATTTTCTTCTTCAGCTAATCGGAAAGAGGAGCAAGAGTTTCTTTCCTGCCATGACATACAGGAATCAACAAACAAATATCTGGCCTCTCTTCTGGCTTTCTAGGAAAACTAACCGGATAATTGTCCGTGGGTGGGGTAAGGGGTGGGGGGAGAGATTTTCTCCGGAAGAGTGCAAACTTAAGTGTGATGCACACATACAGTTTGTGCTCCTTCCTGCCCTTGTCTTCATTCTTTCTCTCCCCAAGGATGAGATCGTGGTGGGAACGCAAGCTGGCTGGGGGTAAAACTCACCTTAACCAATCTTGTGCCTTGAAGGTAAAGCGTTTTAAAGAGAAAGATCTCTTAACTGCTTCCTGGATCACGGAACTGGTGGGTGAAATGCCACTTGTGCAGAAGGATAGCTTCTGAATATAAAGATAGCCCCCGTCTGAACAACCATTGATTAATGACTGTTCAAAGTTACAACGGTATTGAAAAAGGGGACTTACAACCATTTTTTCCACACGACCATTGCAGCATCCCCAAGGTCCCCCCCCCTTTTTTTATTTGATTTATATGCCGCCCTTCTCCGGAGACTTAGGGCGGCTTACAGTGCGTTAAGCAATAACCTTCATCCTTTTGTATATTTATACAAAGTCAGCTTATTGCCCCCACAAACTGGGTCCTCAATTTACCTACCTTAGAAAGGATGGAAGGCTGAGTCAACCTTGAGCCTGGTGAGATTCAAACCTGCAGTAATTGCAGACAGCTGGTGTTAATCACAATGCTTTTAGTCTGCTGAGCTACCAGGCCCATTTCAACGTTTGATCAAAGTTTCAGGCTGTTGACAACTGACTCACATTTATGACCGCTGCAGTGTCTCGGGGAGTCAGGTGATCCCCTTTTCCGACTACAAAATCAACGTGGAAGCCAGGTTCACATAACAACCATGTTATCAATTTTACCAACTGCAGTGATTCACTTAATGACTGTGGCAAGAAAGGTCGTAACAGAATAATTAATCAGTGGAACAACTTGCCTCCAGAAGTTGTAAATACTCCAACACTGGAAGTTTTTATGAAGAAATTGGATAACCATTTGCCTGGTGTAGGGTTTCCTGCCTGAGCAGGGGGTTGGACTAGAAGACCTCCAAGGTCCCTTCCAACTCTGTTATTCTGTTCTGTTCTATTCAGTGGTGGGTTTCAAATTATTTTACTACGGGTTCTGTGGGCGTGGCTTGGTGGGCATGGCAGAAGAAGGATACTGTAAAATCCCCATTTCCTCCCGATCAGCTGGGATTCGGGAGGCAGAGAATAGATGGGGGCGGGGCCAGTCAGAATTTTTACTACCAGTTCTCCGAACTACTCAAAATTTCTGCTACCAGTTCTCCAGAACTGGTCAGAACCTGCTGAATACCCTCTCTGATACCCACCCTTCAGAAGGTTGCATGAACTCACTGATACAAGTGAACCTCAGACAATTGTGTGTTTCTGGTCACACAACAATTAATGAGGCTTAATCGCAAGAATTTTAAGTATGATTTTGGTTCCATAAGCATAATACTCAAACTTTGGTGCTACAGTTCCCATAACTCAGGTCAGTCATGCCCTCTGTAGTCCAGGCCATACCCCAACTCTTACGGAGGGTGGAGCTATGCTCCTATAGGCAGTCCTTGAATTTCAGCAGTTCAGTTAGTGACAGTTCAAAGTTACAACAGGATTGAAAATTAACTTGGGATCATTTTTCACAGTTACAACCTTGGCACCATCCTCGTGATCAAAATTCAGACACTTGGCCACTGACTCATATTAATGACAGTTGGAGTGTGATCCCCTTTTGCGGACCTCCTGACAGTCAAAGTCCAGAGGGAAGCCAGATTCACTTAACAACTCTGTTACTAATTTAACTGCAGCAATTCAAGTAACCCCTGTGACAAGAAAGGTCATAAAATGGAGCAAAATTCACTTAAGTGTTTCACTTAGCAACAGAAATTTTATGCTCAATTATGGTCATAAGTCCAGGACTACCTGTACTTCAGCAGCTGATGTATCTTGGGTGTTTGCCTTCGTACAAAAGTCCACTGGTAGACAAAAACACACCTTTACTCTGAGTTCTGAAGAAAAATAAAAACATAGGTAGTTGTTGACTTACAACTATTTGTTTAGTGACTGAAGTTACAACGGCATTCAAAAAATTTACTTATGACAATTTTTCACACTTAGGATCCGTTGAAGCATCGCTGAGTTCACATCATCAAAATTCAGGTGCTTGGCAACTGACTCATTTATGACGGTTGCAGCGTCCTGATAACGATGTGATCACCATTTGTGACCTTCCCAGCTGGCTTGTGACAAGCAAAGTCAATAGGGGAAGCCAAATCTGTTTAATGACCGCGTGATTCACTTTATAACGGCTATGATTTGCTTAAGAACTATGGCGAATAGCCAGAAAAGGCTACGCTGGCATTCAAAGTCTGCAGAGTTTGGGGGAATGGAAAAAGAATCTTCACACGCATAATTCAGACACTCGATTATGGACTCTCAGGATGTGACTGCATTTAAAAAGAATAGTATTTTGCATATGTTTTTAATCCTTTTAAAAGTTCTGTCTGAGAGAAGCCATATAGTTAAAAAGAAGACTTTTCAGCTGCATTTCTACAGTACCACTTGGTGCTTGATGAAGGAGTTAAGTGTCTTCTTTAAGAGCTGGATTTTATCCTATATACAGATGGGTGAATTTGCCTGAGGGATAAAGCAAGTGGCCAGCTGCAAAAGTCATAGTGTTTGTTACACAGATTGCCAGATATGAAATAAAGTATATGTAGATATTTCAATAGAAAATATTTGTAGGTGAATTGTTGGGTCCTTGGTGCTCCCTCAGCTTGGTGGTTTTCATGCAGATGTTTCATGACCCAACTAGGTAACATCTTCAGTGCTAGAAGTGGGGAGGAGGACTGTGGGATCCTTGGTGCTCTCTGAGCTTGGGTGTTTTCTTGCAGACATTTCATGACCCAACTAGGTGACATCATCAGTGCTAGAAGGGAATGGGTTTTGTGGAGAAGAGGAGGACTCTGAGGTCTTTGGTGCTCTCTGAGCTTGTTAGTTTTCTTGTAGATATTTTATTACCCAATTAGGCACTTGATGTTACCTAGTCAAGTAATAAAATGTCTGTGAGAAAACACCAAGCTTAGAGAGGATCAAGGACCTCAGAATACTGTATATGTAGTTTGAGTTAAACTGGATTTCTTGGTGCTCTCTGATGTTGATGGTTTTGTTAGCCAACTAGATAACATCAGTGTGCGGGAATGTGGAGATACGCATGTAAAAAAAAAATTGAAATTTAGTTCATAAACTGTTGAGAACCAGATCACATTCCATACACACCCTAAATTTCTCCCTGTAAAAGTTCCACTGTTT